CCGGAGATAGTGGATAATGGAGATGTCTGTCTATGCTGCCGTGCCTCAAAGCCGCTCATAAATCAAGATGTACTTCTTTCTTTGGATACTTAGTTCATTGCAGCCTGTTCTTATGTGCTCTGGGGGATAATTTCTCCACACAATGGACACCTACGCGGTCTCATCCGATGTGTGGACATCGCCGTGTGTGATCTTAGTATGACCTATGTGCAACCTAGTATGTACGACCTTTTTCCTAATAGACCCAGTCTCCGCAGGCCAGTGACCGATCTGACCCCTTCTTTCTATCAAATCCTAGTCTTCTCCGACAGACGGTTAGAAAAACATGCTTTTTTATTTAAAATTTTGTTTCAAATATTATTGTTTGTACAATTGTGATTTTAAGAATAAAATGTTTTTCTTTCTTCAAACGTTTTAGAGCGATACGCATGAATTTAAAATCAATTAAAAAAATCTCTCACTGTTTGGCGTAACACATCGGGCTTATTAGTTTATCAGCTTAAACCCCTTCTTCCTAACAAATTAACAAGTCAAACTTTCAAATATTTTGAAAAAATTATAAGCATTATAAGAAAATGTCATTGTACGTCAAAATTCTTGCTTATAACAGGCTTTTTCTTCTGGATGGGTTTTTAAGGGGGCGTCACCGGGTTTTAAGATTATAACAGACATCTGTGACTATTGCCAAAGGGATTTTTGAGATATTTGATTACCTCTTTATCCTGTTATTAAGCTTTTGCAAGTTTAGTATGTCGTATAACGTGAAAGGCTATAGGCAATTTGACATGGCTGATCCTTGTGTGCTCGTCAAGGTTTTTCTTACCACACCAGGACTACACGAACCGACCATCATACGGTATAATCAGAAAAGACGTGCTTGTCATTAAAACAACTGTGACAATATTTTGGATGATGTGTTTACAGAAAAACGTGTTTGTGTTGTATAACAACTATAAACAAAAAAAAATAAATCAAGCAAAATATCTACTTATCACTTTTTAGGATTTACGCGGTGTGATGGATAAAAGGTACTTTCTGGGGTCATCGGTGGGCGCAACGGTTTAGGCGTGACACAGCGCTAATCACTGTAAGAAAGGTGTCGGGTTCGAATCCAGGGCCGCTGGATTCGAACCCCACATACTTACAAATGGGCTTTTTTCAAAAACACCGGCACCCCGAGGGTTGATATGACCTCTGCTGTTGCGAACCCTCGTAAAAAAAAGTACTTTCTTTCAGAATTTAATATCAATGTTTTGTAGATTTGTTTTCCTCAAGTCTGACAAATTTCAGTAGGTAAATTTTTGACATGAATATCGTGTTATTTGTCTCATTGAGTTTTTAAAACAGAACTTTACAATAAATGTGTTTTTAGTAAAAAATTCTTGCTTTATTAATCTCTAGAATTTCAATTAAATAGGATCTTGCCACTCGAATCTTATCAATATTTAAACGAAATATGCTAAAATGCCGGCGAATTACTTTACAAAAGGAATTTCCACCTTACGCCACGGCCGATTTCGGTAATATCGAATTCCAAAACCATCCCGGTTTTCGTTAACGGACGGAACGCTCCCGGTATTCTGGGGTGAATGTGTCGAAATAGTCCGACTTTCCTCAGTGAAAGTGTACGAAGAAAGGTCTGAGAATCTTTCAGAGTACAAACGCCTCTTTACGTCCTATAGCCGTCGGCGATTCATTCTTCTCAGGGTGTAATTTAAGTGTAATATCATGCCAACCGCCTTCTCTTCCTCAAAACAGCTAATAAATCTGTTTTTCATATCATTAACACGTTATGTAAACTGTTGTCCGGAATATTGAGAATTATTTATTCTGACATCATAGTTTACTTTTTTTTTTTAAGTTTTACAGTAAATCTGATTTTACAAAACTGCACCGTAGTTCAATTGACAATAAAGAAGCCCTATGAAACTAACAAAAATATTTTGTTAGTAATAGCAGGTTTATATTTATTATTATGTGTGGTGTTTAGTGACCGTTAGTTAATGATTATTTGGAGATCGTGAGTTGCGGTCTGGTGTGACGTAGGTTTTAGAAAAACATTTTCTTTATCGTGTCAACGTTTCGATCTTTATCGAGATCATCTTCAGGGCTCAAAGTGTTTGTTTTCTGAGCAGATGTGTTATTATTGTGTCGTGTTGAGTCCAACAACTCAACTCAGTTCTACACATCTACACAGAAAACAAACACTTTGAGCTCTGAAGATGATCTCAATAAAGATCGAAACGTTGGCACGATAAAGAAAATGTTTTACTAAAACCTACGTTACACCAGACCGCACCTCACGATCTCCAAATAATCATTTATTATTATTATTTTTTTACTTCATTTTTGTTATCTACAACTGTACATGTATTACAAGCAACCAGCAGATTGGATTTCAATTTATGTTTGTGGCATTATTTACAGAGAAAGTGATATTACTCATTGGCAGCCTATCTGGGATTAATAAAGTGATATTAATTATTTAAGAGACCTCTTATTCATATTCTTTTCAGACATTTACGTGGTAACTGCGAGGAATGGATTAATCATATTTGTGTGTTAGTGAGATTTTGTAATTTACGACAAAAATGTAATGATTGTTGATGGCATGGATTGCTGGCATGTGAAGTGTGTAAGTTTTACGCAAAAAGGGGCAGAAACGATTAGTCTTAAAATTTTGGTTTGAAAACTTTGTAATCTTTGAATATTGGAATATTTGGCCGATCCATAAACTTAGTACCCGTACATCCAAATAGGTTTGAATAGGTAAGCGTATGTCGAAAGTTTTGATTTAAATGGTAATTTTGATTGTCGGTTGAGTAGGTAACAAAGCATTTTAAATTGTTTGTTGAATGTCTGTTTTTTATGTGTTCTGTCTGTTAATAGTGAGTGTGGATTCCAAGTTAGTCTTCTATGAAATGTAAGTCCTAACTTAACTTCCTCCAACAGGAATAAAACTGAAATGGAGAGACATAAACAAACTGTGGAAAAACCATCCTTCACTCATGGCTCCAAGAGATGACATGAACAGGAAATTCCGAATACATCTGGGCACCAAAAAGGAATGGGAAAGAGAGGGAAATAACTCCCTCAAAAATGGCACCATCCTTTGGTACACAGATGGATCTAGAATGCGGGAACCCATGGGAAAGCACACCAGTATCTTCCAAGCTGAGATTCACGCAATTGAAAGATGTATCCAATTCAATCTAAATAGAGGATACAAAAACAAGAATATAGCTATCATGTCAGATAGCCAAGCAGCCATCAAAGCACTAAGCTCAAATACCATTAGTTCAAGGATGGTGCTGAACTGCAAAACCAAATTAAACATATTAGGTTCGCAGAATAAAGTCAGCCTCTGCTGGGTCCCAGGACACATGGGAGTAGAAGGCAACGAGAAAGCGGACACCCTTGCAAGAAAAGGGGCTGCCACACCGCTAATAGGACCCGAACCCTTCTGTGGAATAGGAATACACACTATTAATGAATATCTCAGACAGAAGGACAAAAAGAAAATGAGCGAATTCCAATTCACTTATTGGACATAGACAATCCAAGAATCTTCTAACCAATTTTGGCAAGAAAGAAATCACAGAATGTGTCAAAGGAAGCAGGAATAGACTGCGAATCCTAACAGGATTCCTGACAGGACACTGTAGATTAAATGGACATCTAAAGAAAATTGGAATAATCCAAGATGGCACATGTAGATTCTGCAAAGAAGCAGAAGAGACACCAACACACCTACTAACAAACTGCGGAGCTACACTAGCCCGCAGGAGGAAGTGTTTTGGGATGTACAATGTGACCATAGAAGAACTACAACCACTGAAACCGGGCCTATTAATCAAGTTTCTTGATGAAATAGGACTCACCGATGTTCTTTAGGCAGAGCACAGGGGATACAATAGCTCTTAAAGGGCGCTGTATACCATACCCTGAAATATTATATCTATCTATCTAACTTAACTTTGTCGGATTGAGGAACATTTTGAGGTTCATTGTGTACGACAAGTCTCACGACAGAGTGTGTGGCAGTAAGTGCATTCTCATCAGAAGTCAAAATTGTGTTCAACAGCGGATTATTTGGAAGAGTGAAGAATGCACGTTGGTTAATAAGAAGATAAGAATGTGTGGGAAAGATGGAGTGGAATTTAAGTACGAGATCGTCGTAAGTATCGAATGTTTTAGTACAAGTCTTTTTAGTCTGGTGTGATGGTTCCATGTCAATCGCTTGTCCAGAAGTAGTCAAAGAAAAAAGGATGCTATTCATGTAGAGTTAAGATGTTACTCCAACAAGTGGAATTAATTAATTTTGGTCTCGTCTATCTTTTTCAGCTTTTTATATGCCTCCTCCAGCAAGGAAATGCCGATTTAAAGTTTTTTGTGGGAAATAACAGTATGAGAAAGTTGGGAAAGGATAGCTGAATCAGAAATGTAGATGTTAGAAGATATGTGAGCATATTATGTGTGTAAATTGAGTAGAGGATAGGACTAGGCCTTGGGGTACACCAGTGTTAACTGTGAGAATGGGAGAGAGAGTGCATAGCCAATACAACCTGAAAATATCTGTTGGAGGGTTTATGGGTAAGAAAGTATTAGTTGGAAAGGACACACTTGAACTTAAAGAGCAGTTGAACAAAAAAATTACGCAAAAGATGCCAAACGTCGCTAAAGTTATAGATTGTACATTCTACATCTTCAAAAATAATCATAACAAATGACAATAAAAATTATCCATAATGGAACAAAGGAAAAGAAAAAATAATGGAAAGCTAAATAAAATATTTTTCTGATGAAATTCGAACGATTTTTCTTAATCCCTTTCAGAAAGGTTTTCACACACACCAACCCTATATTATTTTATAGAGAAAATTTTAAACCTTCCAGAGGTTTCCGAATATTGTTAAAAACCCCAAACGTAGACATTCTTTATTAATTAATACAATTTTTGATTTGAGCAATTAATAAATTACGTCTTTTCGTGTTCACAGCTTTTGGAGAACGACTTGGATGGAGAACTGGACCATCAGATGGTATACGAGCCAAGACTGTACAAGAGAGAAGCGTACGATAAACAGTTACAGTATCTCCATTAACGGAACAGAAAAACTGGCTGATATGCTGTACAAAATGTCAAAACGGCTTCATTACATTATTAATAAATAAGAAAAAGGCTGGATCATGATGTTTTTTTGGTATTGGAGGAGACATTCGCTTTTTATCATTTTATGTAATTCAAACTGCCTGATTACGCTGTAGTTTTTATCGATTGTTTATTTTTTATTAATAAATTATTATTTTAGCCCGAGCAACTCTTGTTTAATTTGACCGATTTCCATGAGTTTTTTTGTCTATAAAATCTTCCACGTTCTTTCTCTAGGACGTCCTTGGAAGCATTTTCTAAAAATTTTGCTAGGTTGAAAATATTTGATAATCAGACTTACAAAAGAAAAGCTTCATTATGAATAAGGTAGTACGTAGTCTTCAAAGTATGTTTTTTAATTCTTCCCATTGGAAGGAAAATATTTTTTTTGCAATTGGTGGCACTCATTGTGTATGATTAGGGGTCAAGGAGATCCCGAGGCCATCATCGGTTGAGGCGACGTGGTGGGTTGCCAGGACGGGAATGAATGGAGAGGGCTCGAGCAGTATGGTTAGGATGGTTCGAAAGGTTAATGTGGAAGGTTTGGAATCTGGACCGGATTAGTTCGTTGACAAAAGGAATGTTGAGGTGTTTGTGGACAGTGAGGTTAGTGCTTTGACAATTTGTCTAAGGACTTTCGATTGGAAGGACTGATGCGCTGGATATTGGAAGGCTTGGCAGTACCCCACAGTACCACTCCGTATGTCGATATTGGTATTAGTAAAGTCTGGTACAGTGTTAACTTTGTCTTAATTGTCAAAGTCGATTTCGGTCTTAAAAGCCTTCGTAGTAGTCCAAGTCTTGTATTAAGTTGCTGTTTTTTAAGTTTTGTGTGGGAATTCCACGTCAATCTGCTGTCGAGATATATTCCCAGGTATTTGTCTTGAGTGGAAACTGGTATCTCTTTGCTGTTGATGTACAATGGAGGGCATGACTGCTTTTTCAGTACACTGAGTGCATTTTTTTTCGTTCAGTCTTGTCCTCCATTTTTTACACCAGTGTTCGATAAGGTCAAGGTGTTCCTGGATGTTGGAGATAGCTTGGACAGAATTCGAGTTAGAGGATAGGGTTGCGGTGTCGTCCGCGTAGGTGGTGATAATAGTGTCAGGATGTATTGGTAGGTCAGCAGTATAAATGATATATAGGATAGGACCAAGGATACTTCCTTGCAGTACACCGTCCTGTGTCTGTTTGACTTCCGAGAATTCATTGCCGCACCTCACTCTGAAACAGCGATCAGTTAGGTAGGATTTCAATAAAAGGTAATAATGAGAGTGTAGGAAGCGCTTAAGTTTAAAAAGTATGCCTGGATTCCAGATGTCGAAAGCCTGTGCTGGAAGGAAAATATAAAATTTTTCAAAGGGGTGAAGTTGTTGCACTGTGGGGCTGAAACTTGAATAATAAAAAATAATGTATACAATATAAGTAAAATAATACACCTAAAAAAAGTCCTTCTTGTACGGAAAAAACTGAAGTATTTACAACGTACGAGAAGCTTTCGTTTTCTTGTTCATCAGGAATCATTTAACCAGGCAATATCCAGAGATAAAATTTAAAGAAAAATCAAAAATAACCATAATAAATTAGAAATATATTTAATATATTAAATTTCTCAATATGCCACAAAAATTAAATTTTAATGTATCATTCTGACAGTGGACTACGTTTCAGGATTCAGCCTTATCCTCATCATCTCAATGTATTTGAGATAATCGTCCCCTCTCTTCCACAGTGCACATTCCTATCTTTAGAAAGATCATCAGAGCACCTTTATTTTATTTTGAAGCTTCAGGTGAAATTACCATAATGAAAAAAGTGTAAAACTAAGGATTAGGTTTAACCTGAATAATCATAAAAATGTACAATTTGTACATCGATAGGCTAGTAAAAAGGTCTATTTGTAGGTTTAAAATTTTTGAACATTCTTAAAAATTTAAAATATATATATACATACTCCCAATCAAAAATATTGCGACGCCGTGAGTTTTTAACGTTTAAGTTTATGAGAACGTCCGGTTTTACATAAATAAAAAGTCTAACCATCTTTCCAACACATTCGCCTTTAGTATTTCAAGGGTTGTGAAGGGTTAATCCGGTGAATTTATCCTTTCTTTTGAGATTGTTCTAAACGTGGTTCAGACATTGACAATATTGACTTATGTGCATGTCCATAGCAATGATTCAGAGCCTATGAAAGGCTTCTTATAGTCTTATAAGACCATCTCCATAAATCTTAACCTATTCAAAGCTCTTCTTTCCCTTAGATTGGTACCATCGTGGTACGTGCCTCCGAAAAAAGACGCTTCAGAACACGATAAACCCTACGGCAAATGTCACCGGTCGTGCAGCGTTCTTCAGGTTTTCTCTAGACTCTTTCAAAGACTGTTAAATGCCACTCTTGTCTGCATAAGGATAAGGACTTTTTTTTCCATTCCTCTATAGTCGATGTGTGTTCCCTTTCAAATCTTCACTCACATAACACCTGAATTGTGGCCTTATTGACATAAGGTCATTCTTCTTTTAACAGTTGACTCTAAGATAGATATCAGCAGAATACCATCAATCACGTTTTTAAAGCCGGAAACTGATGAATCGCGCTTCCGGATTTCTTATATTTCAATAAAACCGTCTTCTATGGATGCCCTGAGTTTGGTCAACTCGTATGACTCCCAGTCCCTCTGTATTCTTTTAATAGTCCTGAAACTCACGAATAATTAATGCTAAAGGAATAAAGATACAACAAAATTGACATAGCAAAGGAAATAAAGGGAATTTACTTCTTAAAACAATAATAAAAAGTCTTAATTAGAAAGTGGTTATATTTTAAATTTATTTTGACATCTTTATATGAAATTGATTTAGTTAAAACAGCAATGATTTTTACAGGTGTAAATATATTTACTGATAACATTGTCATTGATTTTTGATTATTGGTCAGTTTTGTTTTCCTCAATTTGTATGAAATATTAAAACTAATTTGTTGAATTCGTGAGAAGGGGTCAAGAATGAGGTAGTTTAGAAAAACACCGTTTTTATTTTTTTTTACCGACGTTTCGACTTTTATTCGGGTCATCTTCAGGGCATAAAGCGTGGCGCAATTCTTGTGAAGTCATAGTGGTGTGGTGTGAAATTGTGAACGGTCCCAAAAACTAAATAATTGTAAAATAAGCCCCAACCGATAATAAAAGTTTATATTTGTAATAGAAATTCTTGTTTCACAGTGTTTCATCTGTTTTTCTCAAATCTTACACATTCTGCTTCGAATACTTGCGAGACGCGTTTCCCAACAATTTCCCAATGGGAAAGTTTTTGAACTTTTCGTTTATTTATGAAGCTTATTTATAAAGCGAAATGTGTGTAAAAGCCAGAAAACATTTTCTGAAGGATGTCGTATTTCATGAAGCACCTGAATGATTCTGTGTGATCTCTAATAATCGGGTTTGAAAGCTTACGTATTCTTTTTCGATGAAGACGTAGTGAAAGTTATTGGATTTTTCGTTTACTTGTGAAGCTTAAGATGAAATCGCCCAGTGAAAAATCTATTAAATATGATTTATTAACGTAATATATTTATGAGATAATATCTTCAGTGCTTCTTATTGTTTATGTACAACTTCCATGGGGCATTAAAATCCTCGTGTATGTTTTCTAAGTGTTCTTCTCAAATCTTGCGCAGTCTTCTGCAATTCCTCGCAAAATGCATTTCTAAACAATTTTTTATTAGGGAAGTTATTGTAATTTTTGTTTATTTAGAAAACTTAAGTTGTAATTAACCAGTAAAAAGCTATTAAATATTACTTATCAACGAATTATAATTATGCTTTTCGTTGTTTCTATACAACTTCCTTGAGGCATTAAATAGATAAAACCAAATTGTATTAATCATTTCGTATTTGATTATAAAATTTTATTTTTGTCTGATCCACTTTTATTACACTGTTTTCGACCTGATTTTCACAAATCTAACACATTCTAATGCAAATCCACGCAAAATGTGTTTCCTAACAATTTCCTAATGGGAAAGTTTTCGGACTTTTCTTTTATTTGTGTGCCTTGTGATAAAATTAGACCGATTTGTATTTGTCAGGAAAGAGATTCTGGGTTCGAATCACGGTATAGATTTTGGAAATTTATTCAAGATTAATTTGTAAAGTAGTTCAACCTCTCGTCCGCGATATCCAAAGGGGTGTTGATGTTTAAGCCTTCCTCTACGACTGGAATTAATGTAATTGATTAAAATTTTATTTCTCTTTTCTTCTAAGTTCTAAAATTTCTCGTTTGATTTGAAAAAAAAATTGACGGCCTTTTTACACAACTTCATCAAGGTTGATTGATATGGCAAAATATATTTGTGATGCCTATGAATTCAAGAATGACGTATGGCATGAAATATTCACACATCAGTAAAATAAGTCCCAGTCATAATTTATCGATTTAAAAAAAATTACTAAAGTCACTTGTAGTAAATATTGTTTATAGTAAGATATCTGGCCGACCACTGAAGATGGCGAAAAGCCCGACGCACCGAAAAGCGTGGAGAAGTAGAACAAAACGGAAACTAGCAAACTGCAGTAGATCCCAAACTTTGGTCGTTGAACTTCGAGAAAAATTAATAATTACAAAAATAAACGTAGAATTAATAATGAGTACTGAAAACTAAAGTTTTTAAAATTTTTATTTATTCATTCGATGTTTGTTTTTCCACACGTAAACAAAATAGGTAAGGTAAGTGGGACATGACCTGTCCGATGAGGAGGAAGAAAGGTGAAGCACCTTATCAGGATCCAGCGTGCTCAATTTGTATTGTCTCCGAACAAGTGCAGGTCAAACAGCCAGTGGAAGTGGAATATCTAAAAAGCGTTCGTACGACCACAGCTACTTAGATTTGGGATTTAAAGAAGCTGACGATGGTAAAGCTCAGTGTGTGATTGGCGCGAAAGTTCTTCCAAACAGTTAATGGTTCCAGTTAAGTTCGTATTTGAGGGTACACGCCCAGAACTCCGGGAGAAACAGATTTTTTCACGAGGAAGCGCACTAAACTGGCTGCTTTTCAAACCTCCATTAAAACTCATGCAAAAACCGTTAATGAAGACTCACTAAAAGCGACTCACTTCATTACTTATCGAGTAGCATAAGCAGGTAAGGCTCATACCGTCGCTGAAACCTTCG